GGAGCAGGGCCCCAAACATCAATATAAATAATTTCAAATGGTTTAGAACATGATATAGAGGAAACACTGAAAGGAAGTCTATGACTTTTATTATGAAGACAAGCATCACAATAAGTGACAACCCTATTATTTGTAAGAGTAGAAAGAGAATAACGAGAAAGTAATTTATTTTGGATAGGGAGAGAGGGATGACCGAGACGACGATGCCACACATCGATTGAAGCTGCAACGGAAGAGTAAGCAGTGGGATGTTTTATTTGTGGAAGTGACGGCCATTCATAAACATTGTCCTTACTCTGGCCTTGGACCAATGATGCCCCCGTGCTCAAATCCTTAACAAGAAAAGAGTTAGGAAAGAATTCAATGGAGGTATTATTTTGTTTGCAAAATTGAGAAATGGAAATGAGATTTTGTTTAATGTAAGGTGCACATAAAACATCATCGAGTGTAAAGGTTGTGGTAGGTGAATTAAGCAGTGTAGAACCCGTATGAGTAATAGGAATTCCTTTACCATCACCGATGATGATGTCCTCAGTGCCACCATAGTTGTTGTGGATGGACAAGTTCTGGAGATCTGAGGTGATGTGGTGGGATGCGCTAGAGTCCACAATCCAATTATGATCACTGGCCGTTGGAGTAGTCGTGAGATTTGCTTGAGGCCAATGTGATTGAGCAGGAAGTCTGGGTCGAGATCGACAGACCTTTGCAGAGTGACCGACTTTATCACATAGTTGGTAAACAATTCTTTGTTGGTTTGTGTAGTGAGGGCGCTAGGACTGCGGATGATTGAAGAAGCCACCTTAGTTGTTGTGATTGGAATGTTGAGGATGAGGAGGAGGAATAGTTGGTTTAGAGCTCATAGGTTCAGAAGGTGTCTTGGTCAAACCTTTGTTGACAATCTTGTTATACGAATTGCCCCTCCTTTTTTGAGTGACTTAAGCTGTGATGGATGGTCCTGGCGGTTTGTCCTCGCGCTTGAGATATATCTCAAAGTCAATCAGCTTGTCGAAAAGTTCTTCGAATGTGATTGGTGAATCACGCGCCCGTATTGCTGCTGCCAATTCCTTGTACTCATCTCCGAGGCCATTGAGGATATGAACAGTAACTTCTTCATCACTGAGGGAATGACCTACCAAGGCCAAGTTATCGATGATAACCTTTATGTTATGTAGATAATCAGCAATATTACTTCCCTCTTGTTTTATCTTCATGAGGCTGGATAGAAGACTAAGCATACGAGTGCGAGAACGATTGGCCAAGGTAGTTTGCAACTTGCACCAAGCTTCGGCAGTAGTGTCACATGAAGAAATGAGTGGGGCAAGGGATCCAGCGACCGAGGCTTGAATTGCTTGAAGGATGAGGCGATCCTGGCGTAACCATAGTTTGTGATCCGGATTTGGTACTAGATCGGATGCGCTTGGGATGTTGAGCATCACCGGTGGACAACGAAGAGAGCCATCGACATAGTCTAGAATATCATAGCCAAATAGTATATTAGAGAATTGAGCACGCCATGATGCGTAGTTACCACCGTTGGATAATTTGAAGGGGATGAGGGTTGCTGCATTTATGGAGATAAGGTTTGTATGTGGGAAGATACTATGGTTCCCTGCGGGAACAATAATGGGAGCATCAAAGGTAGATGATGATGACATATGGAAGATATGATCAGGGAGAAAGAAGTGTTGGTATAGATCAATGCCACCTGAGGTGGTAGCAAATAAGATATGTGAAAGAATAAGGTCTTCGTTGAAGGAAAAGACCTATGCAAGATGGTGTAAAGCTGTAGATTTTTATGCAGCAGTTCTATAGGAAGGACTCTGGGCAGTGATGCAGCCAGTGGCGTGATCAGCTTTGTGCAAGACAACTGCAGATCTGTGTGCAATAGATCGCAGTGAGGAATCTTGGCAACGAGGCAGCAGCGTGGAAAGTTACCAAAGGCTGCTTGTCTCTGTGAAGGCAGAGCAGGATGCTGGCTGCTGGGAGGCTTGCACCCAGAAGGTCCTCTCAGAAGCAGTGAGGATAATGTTGCCGGAGTCGAGGACAGCGGTGGCGGAGGCGTTGGAGGGAGAAGGCCAGGAACTGGTCGATGGACCAGCGCGCGGAAGCAGAGCAGATTTGGCAGATCTGGAGCAGAGGGTCAGTGACGGGGCGCTGGCGGCGATGAAAGGTGGGAAGATGATGATGCAGCAACAGCTTCCATGGCCTGACGTGAAGCTGATGGGTGAGGTTGAAAGACTCAAAGAGGAGAACGCTGATAGAATGAGAGAATGAATAATTTCAAGTAGTATCATGTGAAGTCTATTTATACATAGTGAAAGAGGATATTTCTTTAACTGAGCAAAAAGATTTCCTCATGCAGTTGAGAAAATCTCATCTGCTATGCAGTTGAGAATATCTCTTTTTTATCAAAGAAAATCTCTCTGTTATCACTTAGTATTTTGCTCCATCGTGCTGATTCTCTTCATAAATTGTGCTGTGTTGTTTTTTTGGATATATGCGGACATATCCATCGGGTAAAACGTTGGCTTTGGTGTTGCCTATACTGGAGTCGCTGATAAATGGCATGCAGTTGATTATACAGGTGCATATTTAGGTTATTACAAGTGCACATTTCTAACCTTGCATCCACCGATGAGGGACACCCGGAAGGGCTGGTGTTCCTTTCAACTTCCTAATATCCACATCGATTTTTGTAGTCAGGCAATTCCTATTTTGACGTACGAACGAACCCAGATATTCATATAGCAGCATTTCGAGAATAGAAAAGCGACTCAGGTGAAGTTACAGCACATCTCTGCACCTCAGCCTGCTGATGTTGCTGAAGCAGCTGAGTTAGGCTCTATATTTTGTTCTTAGGAAATGCCTCCATAGCTTTGACCTCGAGAATAAAAATATACATTTGGTGCAGTGTCGTTCCAATTTTTGGTAGCTTTGAAGCTCCTCGGGATTTACTAGCAAAAAGCCCTTGCCAAGGCTGCTGCATGTGCCTGTCACTCGCCTTGCTTGTAATGCTTATATGATTCCTGTACTGCTGCAATTCATATTATAATTTCTTATTACAGGGGTTCCTCACAAATATAAAGTAGAGGCCACCGTTCTCTTGTATGGAAAATTATGTGACATTACTTCTTCAGACAGGAAAGAAAATATATACACCATCGTAAGTGCTACAAATCTTATATGCTCTTCGAGTATTAAAAAAAATTTAAACGTTTCTTTGATTCATAGATATGAAATAGTGATGGCAATGTCTCCTCCACTGAGACCATGTAAAAGGTTAAAAGGGCTGAGAATTTTGTACATGTTATTCCAGGTCTTGAATCTTTAAAGGCCTTCTTAGTTCCATTGGTTTGAAATTTTGATGGTAACATCTCTGGATTCATCATGTTAACCATCAAATAAATGTGTGTCATGAACATTGGAGATTTGCGAATTGAATGTGCATTTGTACGTGATCCTCTAAACATCTTCTCTTCGTCATTTGCTCGTCGGGACTGCTTTTTTTAGTGTCCTTAGAAAGATTCTTGCCTGGTGAGAAGATCGAAGGTATCAAAGGCCTTTCTCTCACTGCAATGGCAGGGGGACGTGGAAGCATATTCCTTGAAGGTATGCCGAGTAGATCTTGCAGCGCTGATCTAAAGCTAATTTTATAAGTGCTTAGGAACTTTATGTTTAATCCACAGAATTTGCATGCTGAAACAAACAATTTACGATGTTGTTAGGATCAGCCCCCTGTCAGTGTTAAATTGTATTTGACGTAGGATTGAGTCCGCAGACTCGTCTAGCTCGATCTTCTCTCTTTGTTGCTCTATATTGTATCATCTCGAGCAAATCTTGTGTCCTTGCCATTGGGGAGAATAATGCCCAAGTGTTTCCTTGCAAGTCAACATAATACTTTCTCTGTTGAGCTGGCAATCCACAAGTTCAACCCATAGTGGGTTTTAACAGGCCACAAACCACCTCCCTTTAAAGTCAAACCCTAGATCCAATAAGAGAGTGTGATGACTATGAAAATAGGAGAGAAAAATTGTAGACAGAAAATTGTAACAGCATCTTGATTCAAAAAAGATGAAAAAATGATAGAAAAATAAGAGAAGGAAAGAGAAGAAGACAAGGACAACGCAGAGAGACTATTCTCAATCATCGTGTTCTAATCTCAGGTTAGATCATATCTATAGTAGATTATTATTGTGATCATTTGGAGAGAATTTGAATATTGTGAAATTTTTGTATCCCAATTATTCTTTTGAGATTGATGTTTGGATTTTGGACAAAAAACTAAGATTTATATATTCATTATTTTTATAGTAGATTATATCTAGTTTGCCCTGTGATTCTTACCCTTTACGTTTGAAAGATTTTTCACGTAAATCTTGATATCATATTTTATTATAATTTTTATTTAATTTCGATATACGTTATGACATATTAGTATTTGTTCATATATAAAAATTTAGTTCTTCTATATATCCTATTATTCTCCGTTGAGGTCTTAAAGGAACAGGAGATCGGCCGGGACAAGGAGGCAACATCAGGTTGGCCCAACAGGTTCAACTAACTACACGAACTGAAGCTTGAAATTTGGTATGTTCTTCGAGAGCATATATTTACACGCTGATGGTAATTAGTGCAATTCGATTGAGGTCCTCTCTCCATAAAGTTCATCGGATTAAGATATGGAAAAAGGAGGTATCTTTCTTCGCACGAGATTCCTTAGCGTGGCTCTGAATCCACACCGAAGGGGAAAGGATGGAGACGATGAGTTGTCGCCCATGGTGGTTGAGGCGCAGCTGGCCCCCAACATCACCTTCATCCCAAGACCAGGAGCACGTACACGATTTTAATTCTTGACATGACCTCCACGTTCTCTGTTTCCATCCATCAAACTCGACTCCACTCCATCAACAAAAGCAGTGATTTTTCCCACCCGCACTCCCTTCTGTGGAAGCTTTTTTATGGTAAAAGTTTTTCAAGTACGGTAATATGATCGATGTTGGTAAGAAACAATGCCATCCTGAAAGCTTTCAGACCTTGATGACGGACAATTGTTCGATGAAATGTCAACTCGAGAATTGGCTTTCAGGCTTCGGTCCCGATGTTATGCTTGCCCACGGAAGAGCTTTTATTGAAAGGGTCGTAGTGCAGGCCCACCGCCGAAAGCAGCGGCGGCCCGCGCGACTTGGTGATCCGAATCTTCACCCGCCGCGCCTTAACCGGCGACGGCAGGCGGTGGAGCCGCTTGTATCCCACCGTCGTGCCCTTCGCGACCAGCTTCCGGTCGGCGAACACCTCGTGTTTCATGATCCGCTGTCCCATGGCGATCGCCTCCTGGATTCTCACCACATTGAAGCTGGCGTTCGCCCTCGGCAGGGCCAGCTCGATCCAGTGCCCGCGCCCGCGGTCGCCGTCTTCCGCGGCCCAGTAAGTCCGGTCGTCGCAGTCGAGCACGTTGTCTGGCGCGAAGCCGCCGCCCTCGCCGCCTCTCTGGGTGCTGGCCTTGGCGGCGCTTCCCGCCGCGAGGTCGGTGGAGAAGACGCTGTTGATCGCTGCGCGGAAGTCCCTCAGCCTCTGCATGTCGTCGTCGGACACGAGCCCGGTGGAGTTCGGCGGGACGTTGAGCAGCAGCACGCAGTTGTGCCCCACGGAGTTGTAGTAGATCTCCATCAGTTGGCTCACCGGCTTGGCGGTCTCGTTCTTGTGCCAGAACCACCCGGGCCGGATCGATACGTCGCACTCCGGCGGCACCCAGTCCGTGCCCCGTGGATCCCCCGTATTCAAATAGCTGCCGAAAACACACTTTTGTTTTCTGTTACCCATATCGAAACCTCTCTCTATTCGGAAACCAAAAATGTTTTTGATTTTACTGCTTTCAGAAACATGAGAAGCTGAAATACCTTTCCAGACTTGCATCTCCGATCCTGAGCACGGTGCGGTTGACGGTGGACCAGCTAGTGGAACCGGCGGAGCCAGACTCGTCGCCGACCCAGCGGATGTCGGGGCCGGCGTCGGAAAAGATGTTGATGGAGCTCTGCAGCTGCTTCACCGTCTCAAACCAGTCCTTGAAGTAGTAGTTCATCTTCTTCGCCTTCTCCCCCTTGGCGCCGTCGAACCATATCTCCGATATCCTCCCGTACCTGCAGTTCCATCATCCAGCAAACGCATCCAACAACCACGGCCGGAAGAATGTGCAGATTCGCTCACCTGGTAAGCAGTTCTTGTAGCTGGGCGAGGTAATACTCGTTGTACTCCACTTCCAGGCCGTAGCTCTTCTCGTGGCGGTCCCACGGCGACAGGTAGAGGCCGACATCGATCCCTCGGGCGCTCGCCGCGTCGACGAGTTCCCGGACGACGTCCCCTCTGCCTCCCTTCCACGGGCTCCTGGCGACGGAGTGATCGGTGTACCGCGACGGCCACAAGCAGAAGCCGTCGTGGTGCTTCGCGGTGAGTATGACGAGCGAGGCGCCGGCGCCGGCGGCCGCGTCGACCCACTGACCCGTGTCCAGGGCAGCCGGGTCGAACAGCGCCGGGCTTTCCTCGCCCGTCCCCCACTCCGAGTCCGTGAACGTGTTCATCCCGAAGTGGAAGAACACGATGACCTCGCGGCGCTGCCACTTCAGCTGCGACGCCGACGGGATCGGCAGCCGCCGCAGCGGTGGTGCCACCACCTTGGAGCAGGTGTACTGGCATTGATGAAGCAACAACACTACCCAAAACGACGTCCACCTCATCCTCTCTCTCTCTCTCTCTCTGCTGGTCGTGTCGTCCAAGGAGACTTTGGTATCTATCGACCAAGTAGCAGAGGTGGTTACAGATGATGGCGGTAAAGGGGAAGAGAGAGCACGAGAAGAGTAATATAGTTCACGGGGTGACACTCTACGGCACGAATATAAATTTATATTAAAAAATTTATAAAATATGATAATTACATAATTTTTTTCAATCAATAATAAATATAAAATATTCACTAAATTATTTCCTAATATAATAGATCACGTTGAATGTAAAATATTTACTAAATTATTTCCTAATATAATAGATCACGTTGAAATAATGATCTTACCATTATTGACAGAATAATGATAACATAAATATCAAAATATTAAAAGAATCATGATAATCTTATCATGATTTATTTTTTCTCAATAATATCTTTCCTAATAAAATCGGTAAATCATAAAACTGCACTAAATCCCGCAAGCGAATCAATATCTTCTTCCTTATTAGTTTCTCTCTGTTTATTAGCTGGAAATGCACGCACTTTGTCAAATGATAGTGATAAAAAGACTAAATAGAGAAAGGATAGAAAGAAAGATTAATAACATAAAAAGGAGATTTTTCATTGGGATCCCCTTTTGTTATTTAGAATCTTCATTTAAAACTTTTTAATAATTTTAAAAGGTTTTTTTGGTAAATAGATGTAAATATTCTTAATTTAATCCTTAATTTTAATGAAAGATTTTAACTCCTTTTGTAACTTTTTTTTTCATTCCTTTTTTGTCCTTCTTTAGTTACTTTGTCAAAACATAGTGAAGGAAAGACTAAATAGAGAAAGGATAGTAATGTTGATAATACATTGTGATCTCTTTATGTTATTTAAAGTCTTATTTTAATTTTTTTTAATAGTTTTAAGATATTGCTTTGCAAATAGATATAAATATTATTGATTTATCACTTAATTTTAATAAAAAAAACTTTAACTCCTTTTGTATCAATTTTTTTCTTTTTTTATCCTTCTTTAGAGATGGTTGGAGCAACATTGACGACAGCTAAAGTTCCACCGTCAACACTCATAAGGACGATTGAATGGACTGTATAAAGTAATAATAACTGAGAGATTGTGAGAAATAAGAGCATGATCGATAATTAAAGGGTATTTATTAATAATTGATAATAAAGGGGTATATATATATATATATATATATATATATA